GTGGGGGGGTTACCACCGGTTCCCACCATGGGCGATGGGAATGAAGGGGAACGTGGGATGAGTTGTGTGGAACCGGGCAGGGAGGCGAGAAAACGGGTCTGTGAGAGGCAAACCGGGTCCGTGGGGCTGCGGGAAGCTGCTCTGGTGAGAGCGTTGAAGAAGCGAAAGAGAGAGAGAGACAGCGTGCTTGAGCTGCTGTGTTCTAATGAAGGTTAATTGGAGCTAATGCTTTGTAGGCTCTGTCATGCATGCTGGTGGAGAAGTAAAAATCCCAGTGGTGATTGTCCTGGATCTTCAGTGCTCCTGTGAGGAAGCTTGTTGGAGAGTTTGAGGTGCAGGCTGGCTTCTGGTTTAGTGTCTGCGTAAATCAAATGTACACCAATTCCTACTTACCTAAAGATCCCTCTTCCTTAATGACTACTTCGTATGTTGCTCAGTAGCTGTTGCACAACACATGCACCGTGATGGGCTGCTGGAGTTCCCTGGCTTTGGGATTCCCCATGCCTCCCCCGGACCTGCTCTGAAGTCACATCAGCCTGGTTATCTCAGGTCATCAGGTGTATAGGAAATGAGGGTGTAAATAGGCTGAGACCCTCAATACAAGTGGAGCTGTTGGAGTGAGGCCAGACGAGGCCATGGAGCTGCTGTGAGGGCTGGAGCAGCTCTGCTCTGGAGCCAGGCTGAGAGAGCTGGGCTGGGGCAGCTGGAAAAGAGAAGGCTCCTGAAGGGGACACCTTAGAGCAGCACCAGGGGCTAAAGGGGCTCCAGGCAAAAGGAGGGACAGGACAAGGGCAATGGCTTGAACCTGCCAGAGGGGAGATTGAGATGAGCTCTGAGGCAGAAGCCCCTCCCTGTGAGGGTGCTGAGGCGCTGGCACAGGGTGCCCAGAGAAGCTGTGGCTGCCCCATCCCTGGCAGTGTTCAAGGCCAGGTTGGACACAGGGGCTTGGAGCAACCTGCTCTAATGGAAGGTGTCCCTGCCCGGGGCAGGGACTGGATGAGCCTTAAGGTCCCTTCCAACCCGAACCAGTGTATGATGTATATTTCTTGGAGACAGATGAGCTGAACCCAAGGCTGGGATAAAGGGGTTGAACATCACCATTACAGATCTATGGAGAGCAGGTGATCCAGAGCCTCTTTCAGGTGTTTATTAGTGAGTAAAAATGCAAAGGGTTGTTACTCTGCCTCAAGCTTTGTCCTGCTCACTTTGGAGCATGGATTCAGCCCTGTGGTGTGGCCAGACTGAGGCATCGGGCTGGATTTGTGTGGCTTAGCATGAGGGAGAAGGTTTCCCCTTGGAGAAGGAGGGACCTTAATCCCTGGTACTGCAGGGCCAACATGGGGATCAGAAGAGACTCTTTTCCTCTGTGCCTGGGCAGATCTTGCAGCAGGGTCCTGTTGGGAGATCCGAGCAGGGCTGCGGTGGTGGGATCTGCAGCCAGCTGGTTGAGGAGGGAAGGATGGGGGCTTGGGGGATGCTCTGGTCCCTTTGCACTTTGCTCAGGGCTTTTTACTTGTTCAAAACCAATTAATAGGATTTTGGAGGCAATGTATCAGCTGGGGCAACCTCAGCTCTTTTAATGGTTAATTGTCACTCAGTACTTGCCAAAGTGATCAGCTTTCTGCTGTGATCCCAGTTCAAAGGGCAGCTTAAGGAAAACAACAGTGCAGCAGCGGCACAGCCTTTGCCCTGCCGGGAGCAGAGCATTCCCTATGGTTCTGCTCCAGCCTGAATGCACAGGGCTTGTCCCAGCAGCTTCTCCATGAACTCCATGGCACGGCCGTGCTGAGCTTTTTGCTGTATCCATGTTTTAAGGCTGTGCTGCGTTAGGACTCCTGCACACATAAAGAGACACCCTTGAGCGGTGTTCCTCAGGGATTGCTGTTGGGACCAGCACTGATGGATGTACCTTCAGCCAGTTTGCTGATGACACCAAGCTGTGTGGTGCAGTGTCACGCTGGAGGGAAGGGAAGGGATGGGATCCAAAAGGACCTGGCCAGGATGGAGAGGTGGGACCATGAGAACCTCATAGAATTCAACAAGGCCACTGATTAATGGAGTACATAAAAGCACTGCTGCCACTGTGTTTTGCCCAGCTCATAGAGACAAGTTTGGTGATGAGTTGTACCCAGCCTATCTGAAAAGCAGGGTATATCCCTTCTGATGTCTGTTACAACCCAGCATGGTTGAGCTTTTCTGGAGCAATGCTCCAATTCTCCATTCATCCTTAGAAAGCCCCCTTGGTATCTTTCAGCAATGCCAATTGAGCAGGCACCTCATTTAGTGCTCATTTCCTCCCTTGTCACACATGGGAGCAGTCCTGCCAGGCAAGGTTTGAGAATGGGAGTAGAGGGGAGAGCTTAAATTGCTGCTAAATACTGGCAGATCCTGTTATCTGAAGCTACTTTCGGAAGCAAAGATGCCTGCAGAGAGGGAGGTTGTGGTTAGATGAATTACATCAAGGCAATGAGTTATATGTTAGGGGGTGCACTTGAACCAAATACAGAGAGAAAGGAGAGCCTGAAGGGTTTTGGTTCAAGCTACAGAATCCAAGCTGGCATTAAAAACCAAAGGAGGCAAGGTGACACCCAAGACTCATTATAAGGTTATTAACTAACCTCTTACTCCTGTGTCTGGAGCTTCAATTGTAGTGTGTGGAATAACTGCAGGTAATTCAGACAGGTCCCCATGGCTGCTTGAGACGGACAAGAGCTGCTCTTGTGGACCCTCCTAGTCTGATGAGGACCTGATGTGAGCATATGGAACATGGGCAGCGAGAGACCTGCTGTGGGAAGGGTGTATGGGATGAGGAAGAAGAGGCAGACAGAGCAGAGGGTGGGTGTAAAAGTCTAACCAGAGTGCCAAGAGATGCTCTAATGGGTCTCTGCCCTTGGTGTCCCTTTCTCTGCTAGGGCTCAGTGGTGGGAGCAAGGCTGTACTGCACATGAAGGTGCCCATCTGAGCATCACTGCACACTACAGCTAGGCAATGTCAAGCCCAGGGCTCTACAAGCTGACCTGCTGTGATGGCCACAACTCTTCCAGCCGTTGCCTTGGTTTTGTTGCTTGCTTTTGCTGCCACATGGCTTTACCTTGGCTGCCTGATGTTTTACTGATGTTGTGGCCACTCTAAAGTCAACACGAGTTGGGAAGAGCCTGGTTGGACGGGCCCAGCTGGATTAACCTCTCCTTTGCCTCTTCCAGCCCCAAACCACCACCCCTTGAGGGTGTGAAGTCCAACCCTTCCAAGCGGCACCGGGAGCGGCTGAACCAGGAGCTGAACAAGCTGACTGGTTTGCTGCCCTTCCCAGAGGATGTGCGCACCAGGCTCGACAAGCTCTCCATTCTACGGCTGGCTGTTGGGTACCTGAAGGTGAAGAGCCACTTGCTGGGTGAGTGTCCATGACTTGTGAGGGGTGATGATAAAGCCCCTGGAGTCAATCCCCACCGCGCAGCTCACATCCCACCCTGAGCCTTGCTTGTTTAGGGATGGAAAGTTGTCTCCTGCAGGTAGGAGTTGGGGGTCTGGCAGCTTCTCCATCTACTTCTCATTAGCAACCATTCCCCTCCTTTATGTCCAAAGTGCCTCCTGTGTCCCCCTCCCACCAGCCTGAGGTGAAAAAGGGACCAATAGGTAAAACTCTATTGAACAGCAACATCTCCCTCATTTAGCTGGAACCATGGTTTATAGTTAAATGAATTAGGCTGAAACAGGCCAAGAGACTTGGGACAGGCTGAGGGAGCTGGGCTGGTTCAGCCTGGAGAAGAGAAGGCTCCTTAAGGGGAGACCTTAGAGCAGCTCCAGGGCCTAAAGGGGTTCCAGGAAACCTGGAGGGGTTTGGGGCTTTGGACAAGGGGTGTAGGGACAAGAGGGGGTGATGGTGTGGTTCATGTTGGTAATTCATTGCTCTACTTGCCACGCTGGTCCTGCTGGGCTCAACTGTGGTGATGTCTATTCTACTTCTCTAATGAGTGTTTCTAGGAGATGGAGGGTGATGCTTGATGCCCAGAGATCCCAGTTCATTTCTGTGGGATGGGTATCTGAGCTTATACACCTGGAGAACTGATCTCCTTAGGTCTGCTTCCCTGCTAACTGTGGAGACCCTGGTGAAGAGCAGCTGCCACAGCAGGATCGTGGCTGGACACTGCTTCTATTTTTCTCTCATGTCATGAAACTGAGTGTTTAGCATCACTTAAATACTCACTCTCAGGCATATTAATAAAGTAATTTTAATAGAAACCTATAAATGTGTGATTCAACAGAATTCAATGGCAAGGTCCACTCTATTCCATACATAAAGAGATCGTGTCTGAATTGCTGATGATTTACACTGGATTGGGTTAAAGTGATTTATACAGACTTGTGTGTGTGTGTGTGTCTGGCATGGCAGGGAGGTATGGACAGGCATGTGTTTCATCTCCAATGCCTTGGGCTTGATGGCATGGGTGATGGATGGGCCCTGGTGAAAGCACAGCATGTGGAGGGCAGGAAGCCAGCAGCATACTTACAGGCATCCTACTGCATCCTATTCCAAGACTGAATAAATTTGGCTGCCTTAACTTTTGCCCCATACAAAGCCCCTTGGGACTCTTCCGGGACCTTCTGTAGCTGGGGTTGCTGGTTGCCAAGAGGACACCCTTGTGCCAAGCTCTCCAGTTGGGACCCATGTGGTTCCCATGGGGATGTGCTCAGCATATGCTTCCCAGCATGGGAGCTGCTATGGAAGAGCAATCACCACTGAATGACTTCATGTTGAGTGGCAAGTTCAAGTTCACCCCTTGCCCCTCCTTGCTGCAAGGCCAATTACTCCCATTTGGCCACGGTGTCTGTGATTTCCAGCTCATTCCACTCTCTTTGCCTGCATCTCTCCCTTGAACCTCATCTTGTTTGACTTCACATCATCCCACCGATTCATCAAGGTCAACCTCAAGCCCTGCCTGATGAAGTCCTGTGTCATCTGCAGCCTACTCGTGGTGTAGCACATCAGAGGTTCCGAGGGGAGATGGTGGAATCCCTTGTGCTGTGCTTTCTGCTTTGTGCAGGCTTCATTCCTGCAGCAGGAGAGCACGACACTGCCTGGGGAGCACCCCTGCCCTCTGCTGCCTCAACCTCTCTCCATCAGCAGCTCAAGCCCATTGCCTTGACTCCAGGCAACTTGAATTGCTGCCATATTGATAAAGAGCTGCTCTTTTCAAGCAGATCTCTTGAGTCCAGGCTGTGGTTCTATGATCAAGTAGCCTGGACTGCCAGGATGGAGAACCCTGGCCCTTGGTTCTCCCTGTTCCTGGTGATGCTGGCATCATCCTGACCAAGCTGCGCTCTGGAGTGTCAACACATCCTGGAGATGCTCTCTGCATCACCTTCCCTGGCTGCCTTGGAGCAGGAGGCTCCAAGCCATCTCCCTATGTCTCTGGGAGATGGACACTCATGGGGTGATCACCCTGCAAGTTGTTCCTGGTGTGTGTGTGGATTTATGTGCTGGTGAAGTCCCCCAGAGACTAATAACTTCTCAAGTGAATGGGGAATGTTCCAGGCGTGATCCCTCCCTCCTATGAGGTTACTCGTGATGGGGTGGGGGCTTTTTCTGCATTTCAAAAGCATTGGTTTTCCCTTTCCAGGGCAAAAAGTCTGTTACCCCTGTGGAGGAACAAAGCTAGGCCGCATGTGTTGAATTAATGGTGAAAGCGAGGTTATCCCATGTATCCCGGTGGGAGAGGGATGTGTGTTTTGCCTCAGCATCTCCTTGGCCTATGGGCTGGGCTGCTCTGCACCACCAACACTTAGAAGCACCATTACAAGACATGCCCTGCAGTTAGGACCTCGTAACCCCTGTGCAGTGATGTTTGATGGCAAAGCAGTTGGTAGACACCATCTCTTTCGCTTTCCCACCCTCTCCCTGTGCTCCAGGCATTCTCCCCAAGCCAGGTCATCATACTGTGTCCCATGGGAGATAGAGCCTGCAGGATTTCCTAGCTCAGAATGGACCGCTTTGTGTTTGAGAGGAGGGAATGGGAGTATCCCTGATGGAAGATTAAAAGGCCCCTGTTTCCTGTCGGATTCTGTAAGCCCAGTGAGCTGGAGACCATGTGCCTTCAGGATGAGCATCCTTGCAAAATGCTCTCTGCCCTTTTGGAGCTTTGAGTTGGAAGAGCTTGGTTTCCTTTTGTATTGCCCTGCCAGCTTACCTCATTGCAATGCTTTGGAGAGGAGTCAGCCCTTCTGAAGCATTCAGGGTTTAAAGGAAGAACTGCTGTTTCATTTTGAAACTATTCTGCTCCATCATGTGCAAATTGAAGCCATACCCATGGTCCAGATGGGCTGTGGATGCTTGTCCTTGGGGATTGCTTGGCAATGGTGCAAGGAGGCTTTTTGCTGGGTGAGTGCCTCAGACCTGCCTTTTGCTGTGCCTTTCCCTGGCTGATGAATAAGCTGAGCACAGTGACCACTTTCCTAGCACCCAACCTCCTCTTTCCCAGCCTTTCCCAAAGGTCTCTCATTGCCTGGGTTGGCTGATCCTCTTGCTGATTTGGGAAGTGTCTGTGCAGAGGGAATGGGAGCTCATGCGGGGGCAATGAGGATTTGTGATGAAGGCTGAAGTGGCCAACAGGACAAGGGGAATGGCTTGACCCTGCCAGAGGGGAGACTGAGATGAGCTCTGAGGCAGCAGCTCTTCCCTGTGAGGGTGCTGAGGCGCTGGCACAGGGTGCCCAGAGAAGCTGTGGCTGCCCCATCCCTGGCAGCGTTCAAGGCCAGGTTGGACACAGGGACTTGGAGCAACCAGCTCTAGTGGAAGGTGTCCCTGCCCGTGGCAGGGGTTGGAGCTGGATGAGCCTTAAGGCCCCTTCAAACCAGGCTGGGATTCTATGAAGTAGCCCAGTTCTACCATTGATGGAGATTGAGGTTAATTCTGCTTAATGGGCTCCGAGCATCCTCTCTGCTTCCATTTAAACCTGTGTGACTGCACAGTGTGACTCCTCTGTGTCACCTTGTGTCACCTTCAGCTGCCTTTAACCATGTGCCTGGTTGCTGGAAGCCTGTGGGTTTGCCGGCACTCAGGCTCCACATGTTAAGAGGTCTGAGCAGTGTTTTGACCTCTGACTAGTTTTTAATGCAAACACACCTGGTGGCTGTTTGAAGAATGTCTTAATTCTAGCAGTTTTCGGATGAAACCTCATTAGGTTTGGATTTACTTTGGCTTTGAACCCTCTGCTCTTGGGGTTGGGAAATAAACCAACAAACCTTGAAAGCTGCTCAGTGGTGAGGTGAGAGCTTCCACCACGTTAAAAATCAACTGCGTGGTCAGACTTGGGCATGGTTTGTGCTTGTTCCTCGTTTCCTGCCACTTCTCCCAATTCAGAAGACCTTTTCCCTCTGGATCCAGCCAAGGCCATGCAGCACTATCAGAAAGCCAGGGCTCAGCCAGGGCAGGCAGTGATGTTCTGCTGGGATGTTGCTATTCACAGCTCTGCCCAACACTGGGTCACTGCAGGAGCTTGCAGCAGTGGGGAGATTCTGATGTGGGAGCTGCTTAGAGGCCTTCCTGTGGGTGTTTGGTTGAGGTGGTGCAAAGACATGCCTTAAATTTTGCTGGAAGCTGAGTTTGGATTGAGTTTGCTCCATGAGGGTTCCCCAGCAGATGAAGTACCATGCTGGGAATATCCCTGGGGAGCTGCTGTCCTCATTCCTGTTCCCTCTACAACCAGTTCTGTGTGTCTCGTGATGCTTGAGGTCCTCTAACCATGGGTGCTGCCTTGAAGGCATCTAGTGAGGACGTGAGTGACAGCATGGGGAGGTCATGGCAGTGAGTCCAAGAGCTGCTCAGTATCTCCTTGGGAATGTCGTGGCCACCAACCCTCTGATCTGCTTCCGAGCAGCCAAAGGCAGGAGGAAGAAGTGTGGGTGTTTTGGTGTCATCTGGGATACTTTGGGAAGGTTTGCCACTATCTTTGTCAGCCCTGAAGGGCAGGAAAGATGCTGTGGCACTGGGGCGGCTTGAAGGCAACTTCAGCTCTTCCAGGCTCTAACCTGAAGACTTCTTGCTGCATTGGGTGGTGTTTCCTAGCACTCACCTCCCTTCTGTCCTTTGCATCTCTGCCTCAGACCTTGGCAGAAATGAGGTTCTTTAGCAATGGGATGATAACCTCTTGGAGGAAGCATTGGGCAAGTTGGGCATGTCTCTGTAAAGGGACTCTGCTCCACTTCCCACTGCTCTCCTCTTCCTCCAGGCTGGGGCCATGTGCAGTGGGTAGCGTGGTCCAGCCATGCACGAGTAGCCCTGAGGTGGGGAGGAGGGAGAGGCTCCCATTTTGCCCCTTCCATGCTCATTTCTTGCCCTCTTACCCACAGCCACAGCTACGGATGTTGGTGACTACATGCTGGATCAGCCCAGAGCTCCAGGAGGGAGCAGATGGATGGATCCACAGGTCAACAAGGAGCTGTTTCCTGAGGGGGAACTGCTGCTCCAGGTATTGTGCTATAGCTTGGGTTGTGTGGGGTCCTCCCTTGGCTCCTGCCACCCATCGCTGGTCCCTGCCTGCTGCAATGGAGCATGAGGTCCCATCAGGGGAGCAAGAGGAGACCCTGCTTTACCTTCGCTGTTATTCTACAGGCACTGAGCACCTTGGATCAGGGAGCAGAGGCACTGCCTGGCTGGGATGGGGCCCCAATTTTCACCCCACACGCTTTGATGCCCCTTTTCAGTCCATTTGGAGGGGCTGTCCCCTAAACTGCATCTGTACCAGAGCAGGGCTCAGGGTGGTGGGTCGTGCCCTGGTGCAGGGCTATTGTACAGCAATGTAGGGGTTGATCCCTGATTCGTGTCTGAGGTGATGGGTTTCTTGTGTTCCAGTAAATGCCAAGAGGAGAATGGTGATAGCCATAGGGTAAAACATCCACCAGGAACATTTTGCTCAACCTGAGGCATTTTATGGACTCTTTAGGATGGGTTCATAGTCTTCCTGGGATTGGAAAAGCCCTGGTTCAGTTTGGGGATGAAAAGCTGGATCTTGGTGGAGAGAAGCAGAGGGTGGGGGGAGCTCTGCTTTGTAGAAAGGCCAGTGTGTGTGTCTAATGAAGTAGCTGTCAGTGAACTTCAGAGAGCAAGGAGCTGGTGAATCAGCTGAATGCTGTTTGTTTGGGTTGCCAATGGAAGCTGGAAGGAAATGAATAGGAAAAGTCACATGGAAAGGCTGGTTGCAGAATAAACATCTGGGCATGTCAGCTCCAAACGTGCCACTCCTTGGGGCTGCAGGACAAGTCCATGCAAGACCTTTAGTTGTTCCATGGCTGAGTTTCTGACATTGCACGTCTGCTTTATGGGCCTTCAGTCCCCTTCTCCCACCAGCAGACAGATGTTTGGCTCTTCTCAAAGTCTGACTTTGCTGCCTTCAACCCTGCTCCTCCACAGCCTTACCTCAGTGCTCAGCACTATGGCCAGGGTGCAAGCAGAGCCCTCATGAGGGGGGATTTTGCTGACTCCTGGGAGCCCAGTGTGAGACTTGGACCACATGAAGCCTCCCATGGGAGCTTCACTCCCAGGAGTGCTCTGGGCTGTGTGCAAGTGGGATAGGCACAGAGGAACAGCTGGAACAACATGATTTGGGTGACATGGTTTAGTGTGAGGTGTCCCTGCCCATGGCAGGGGGTTGGAACTGGATGATCTTAAGGTCCTTTCCAACCCAAACCATTCCATGACTCTATGATGGTCAGGAGGGAGCCTGTGATGGAGCAGCTCCCAAGCTCTCTCTGGAGGCTTGAGCTGGGCCATATGATGGCAATTTGTTGAGCAATGGCAGCTTTGGGTGACTGGAGGCATCTGGAGAGCTGGTGAGGTGTTAATGTGACACAAACCCTTCAGCTCAGCTGCCTGTTGGTTTGGTTTGGTTCTGTTTTGAAGAACATTCTAGTCACATACTGTCATCTGCAGAGCAGCCTCTGACTCAGGGACCCCAGGGGGGCTGCAGCACACAAAGGAAAGGGTCTGGTCCTGCTGCAGGCTGGATCTGTGCAGGATCAGGCAACGTGCTCAATCCAGCACCCTTCCAAATAGTCCCAGGTGCTAAAGAAAGCTCCCACAAGCCTCAGTGTCACTGGAAATGGGCAAGTGCCTGAGCTGTGGCAGCAGATTGCTCCTGCCTCCTCTTTGCAAGGAGGGGCAGAGTCAAAGGAGCAGCTTGGGAGGCAAGACCCTTCTCTCCAGCCTGGTCTCCATCCCTGGCAGTGTTCAAGGCCAGATGAGATGGAGCCTTGGGTGACATGGTCTAGTGTGAGGTGTCCCTGCCCATGGCAGGGGTTGGAACTGGATGATCTTATGGTCCTTTCCAGCCCAAACCATTCTAAGAAAGAGCATGTCCCCATGGTCCCCCCCCAAGAAGCTCAGTGCAGTTGAGTTGGGCAGCAAAGGCAAAGTCCACGTGCAAAGTCCATATCTGTGGTAGGTCCTGGCCTTGATGCTTATGAGATCTGCTGGGACCTGCCCGTAGCCTGACCTGGCTTCCATAGGGGGCTTTTCTTTTCCTAGTTTCTCTCCTATTCACCACTGAGTTAAACATTACAGACAAGAGCAGGGTGCAAGAATCACAGAACCACAGCCTGATTTGGGTTGGAAGGGACCTTAAAGCTCATCCAGCTCCAACCCCTGCCACGGGCAGGGACACCTTCCACTAGAGCAGGTTGCTCCAAGCCCATGTCCAACCTGGCCTTGAACACTGCCAGGGATGGGACACCCACTTCTGGGCACCCTGTGTGTAGCAGAGCACTTTGCTTTTGGAGGAAATCAGCCTGAAATGGTCATCAGCTCTCTCTGAATCTTCACCTTGCCTTTTCTGCCTGTTATTCACCGCATGTGTGAGCTCTCCTCTCCATGGTCTCTAGTAATGTCTCTACTATGGTGTGGGTTTGGCCTTTCTCAAGCCAGGAGCTATCAGCTGGGGATGGGTTTAGGCCATGCGTGTGTATTCACAGGGAGCAGAGCAAGAAGTGAAGTTGACAGATGGTATGAGCACAACAATGTCTTTCCTTTTAGGGACAGATTTGGGGGTTTTGTATCGAAAACCTCATTTTCTGTCATCTAGAACATCAGCAGGAGGAGAGTAATGTTTTGAGCATGGTTTCTTATAGCACCAGTTCAGTGCCAGAATGTATTTGAGGGGCAGTGGGGCTTGTTCCTCACAAACATCTCAAGAGCAGTGGGTCCTCTTGATGTTTGTCAGAAACAAGGACCTAATCAGAGGAGAAGTTGTGTAGTGGGAGATAGATGAGGCCAGGAAGATGTTGCCTCCTCAAAGATGCATCCAACAGTCTCCGTGCTTGTAAAGACCAGGGGGTGCCATGATGAGCATCACAAATACATCCTCAGGGCCTTCCCAAATTTGTGATTGGAGTTTCCAGGTTTTTCCACCTCTTCTGCTTTCAAGTGGATGTTACTTTTAGCTGCATCCCCAACGTAGCAGTGACTGGGTTTGGTCTTGCTTCGTGTGCTTTGTGATGAGTTGTATCCTTGGAGCCGAGAGCAGGAGCCTCAGGGACAGTGATTTCTTCAGGTGCTGAGGATTAAAGGACAGGTTTGGGTTGGGGTTTGAGGAGAAGACATACAGCAATGCACAAATAAGCTTGTAGAACTTCCTGCAAAACTTAGGGGGAGGCACAAGGCCCAGAGTGTCTTTAGAGCTCACCCTTACAATGAACAAGCAGATAAGATAGGTCAGGTCAGTGGGTGACTTCAGTTTGGTTCCTGTCTCTGGAGGGTTCATTATGCTAGACTTCTTCTGGAGCCACCAGAGCTGCTTTTTCCCCTCTACACCCCTATTGCTGCTTGCTATTGAAGTTGAGAAGATCAGAGCCCCAGAAGAGTTATAGCTGTACCTTCTATAGCAGTAATGGGTCTAGAAGTGGTCAGTCTGCCCTGGCTCATTGCTCCTGTTAACACTAACCACCACCACCCCCATAACCCCCAACTTACCAGGATTAATAGTCTTGCATGATCACAAGGTGCTTCCATCATCTTGCTAATGAAGAAGGTCCCTTCCTGACCCCAAACGCTGAAGAAACACCTGGAGAAGTTCACCTTCCAAGCAGCTGGATTGAAGCTGGGGAGAGTAACTCTGGGCTCAACTTCTGCTTTCAGGCACTCAATGGATTTGTCATTGCTGTGACTGGAGATGGTTTTATCTTCTACATCTCCCCTACTGTGCAGGACTACCTGGGCTTTCATCAGGTGGGTACCATGTTTTTCCTGGCTCTAACCAGAGGGATGCAGTCCAGCTCTGGGAAGGAGGTGCTGAGAGCCATGCCAGGGCTTTATTCTTCCTTCCCAGCTCCCTTGGGTCATTCTGGATGTATGTTTTTACATGAGTCATGTCCTTTGGGGGCTGGGAAAGCCAACAAGAATGCTTGTGGCTTTAGTAGGAATAGATGCAAGTTGAGCAGTGGCAGGCTCTGTCTTCTTGTCTCCCTGTGGAAGGGCAGTGGGAGGGTTTTCTTGGATCATGCTGCTGGTCAGAGGGCATCTTGCTGGCAAGCAGGGGCTGTACCATGGCTTACCTGGGATGCCAAGGACAAGCAGGTCTCTCCTCACATGCACCCAGTTTTGGCCAAAGGACTGAGACAACAGGAGGGCTGTGGGGCTGCCAAACCTGCATAGGTGCTGGTCTGCCTGCAGGGACTGACGTGGTGACTCCAGCCCTGCCCTGGGCAGCCTGTTCCAATGCCTGAGCACCCCCTGGGCAAGGAATTGTTCCTCAGCTCCATCTAAACCTGCCCGGGGACAGCCTGAGGCCGTTTCCTCTTGTCCCATCCCTTGTTCCTTGGGCTGAAGACTCAAGTCAAGACAGTTGTCAGACAGGGAGTGGTCTTCTCAAAGTACCTGCTTGTCTGGTTAAGCAGGAGGCTCTGCTCTGGCATGTTCCTAAGGGCAGGGACATGAGTCAGTGGCCTGAGCTGCCCATGGGTGGTCAGGACCATGCTGACCACCACATCATGCAGTACTAGGATGGGCAAGGCTGGTTTGAGCTGGGATACAGATTCCCACAGGTTTGGAGTTAAAACCCATACAAACCCACTTTTGAAACCACCAAATCCCTCCGCATAAGTGGGGGAGGGGGAGAAAAATAGGTTGGTTTGGTCAAAATGTTTTGATCAACCTTGGAATTACATTGTGCTGTGGGAGAAACAAAGCAGAGAGCCAGGGATGGCAGCGCAAAGAGGGAGCTTGTGTGCTGCTGGAGGCTGCAATTTGTACCCCACCAACACAGTCCCCTCTGACAACCCACAACCTTTCTGACCCTGGGTCTGAATTTGGTCCTGAGAAGATACTAGAGGCTAAGACATGGCAGGAGAATGCCACTGCTGCAACATGCACCCCACAGACGGGGAGCAAAGCTTCCCAACGAGCAGGCTGGGAGTCCATTTCCCATGGGCTGTGGTTAAGGACCAGGAGCCAGAGACACTGTGGAACATCCTTGGAAGGGCAAGGGGACACCAGGAGAACCTCAGCTTTGCTGCTGTGGGGAACAGGCTGGAAAGCTCTGCTCAGCTGTGGCTGGAGGATGCTGGGGATGTGGGCAGTGGGATGCTCCTGAGCAGCCGCCCTTACTCCGACATTGCCATTTCCATTGCTTATAGAAACCTCTGAGCTGTCCCCACAGTGTCAAAGGCTTTTCCCTCTTCTCTGCTCCCTTTTCCTCCTTCCTGAGCCACCCTCTCTAAACCCAGCAGGTTCCTGGTCCTCAAGGCACACAAAGCTTTGTGTTCACCTCTTTGCGCTCCATCCCTGTGCTTTTAGTACCCATGAAGGAAAGGCTCCTGCTGTCTCCCCCTCCAGACACCTCTTCCAGCCCCTCCTTCCACAAGCACTCTTCTCTCCTTGTGTCATTCCAGTCGGATCTCATCTACCAGAGTGTGTACGAGCTGATCCATGCGGATGACAGAGCCGCCTTCCACCACCAACTGCACAGGGCTCCAGTGTCCAGCAGCAGCCAGCATGGTGAGTGCCAGGGTTATCCCTCTGCGTGGCCAACCCCATGCTGGAAAACCCTCCTGCTGGCATTTAGAGCCACCAAGCACATGCCTGTGCTGAGGAGCATCCCATAGCCTTCCCTCTGGGACTTGCAGCCATCCGATGGCTGTCACCAACAGTGATGATGTGCTGGTTTGTGCTGTGCTATAGGGATGGGGATGCTTTCCCCAAACCTTTTTGCTTTCCAGGGTTTGAAATCCTATTTATTTCAATGGGAGCAGCTTGTTGCCTTGCTCCTGTCTGAAGGGCCAAGAGGACTTTGACTTCCCATGGCAAGGTTGGGATCATCTGGTGAAGATCATGGGCCCATTCATTGGAGAAGAGAAGCTGCTGGAGACCTCAGAGCAGCTTCCAGGGTCTGAAGGGGGCTGCAAGGGGGGTG